AGTTTGGAACCAATCTTTAAATAATTCGGCAGTAGTGTCGTCATGGTAATCGACTAAGGAGTCCTTAATATTTTTTGCCGATAACGACAACGCATTAGGTATAAAACAATTATATTGGTTTCTGCGTGTATTATAGTAATACGTTTGCCTTTATTATGTGGCGCATAAGTCTGGCACAAGTCAGATGCGTCTACCTAGGTATTTCAAAATAAAGATACTTCAAAATAAATTCATTCCAACTACTGTCCTGTTCTTTTCAACATTAAGATGATTGGGGTTTCTCTTTAAAACAACATCTAGTAAGTGAGGGAGGTTTCCTCAATGATGGTGGGTGAGGTCTTCCGGGTTTTCCTCACTTGTATGTCAAACCTCACCGTCCCTTCCCCCACACAAGTACAGTCGGCTTTAGGGGTTGAAATTCTCTCGTAAGGGGTGAATTAGGGAAAGTATTATTATAGTTAAATTAAGTAGCATGGTTATAGTCAATGTACTATGTTGAAGGACATTTTTAGGGCCGTCTTGATATTTTGGGATTCAAAGGTAATCCTTCTTATTGATTAACTTACAATTGAAGGACCAAACGAGTAACGGGGCATATTATAAGGCTTTGTTGGACCACAGGAATTCCGAAAAAAAAATGTAACTCTGACGTATCTTAACAAACGTTCGAAATAAAACTCAATTTATTTCCCTACGTGAAAAGCGGCTTTTATTTGTTTCCGTTATCGCCAGCTGTAACTTTATGCGCTCATAATACACAGAAGCACTATATAACGTGGGTGTAAAAAGTATGATTGAACTATTGAATCATTTTCGGAGAGATCCAAAATGACTCACGCACTTGCTTATTGCTCAAAATAGCGCATCAACGCAACAATGATTAAAAGTAAATATTCTAGCCCCTTAGTTATAATTATTAATACACCGAAAATTTTACTTAATTTCGAAATTCTAATGATAAGTTTTTAATAATGCTTGAAAATCTTACCACGTTTTTAAGATAAACATGATTATTTCCGGCACAGGACACAATTAGAAATCACTTAAATGTTTTATTAACAAAAAAAATAACTTAAAAATAACGATTAATAAGCTAAGGAACGTGGAAGGTGTACTGTTAAATATGAGCTAGTAGAAACTAAAAATATAACTTGAATGGGAATAGACATAGATATATAACCAAGAATAGATATCCCGAAATCGCTTGTTTGTGACTCTGGATCATGCTTAATCTATACTGAACAAATTGCGCCTTCTTGCCAACATTGCTGCCTATATTCACAGGGGTAAATAGTTTATTTTTTTGTGGGAATAAAATGTATTGTGATCTTTAAAAAAATCGTTTCGAAGTCATAATTAAGCCACAACCTATTAACAAATCTGCTTGTCAATGAATTTGTTATAAAATTGAACTTGTTTTTCGGTCGAAAAAATTTAGGAAAATTCCATAGATACTTAACGCTATGAAATCTTCTAGTTTCAATAAATTAGAATTTTCAATAAAAAATAAATTTCGATTTACTGTTATTTTCGGAAAAACCGGAAATACGTCATTTTGTCAGAGAATAAATGAATCTGTTATAATAGTCCTCCAAACGTTAAACAAAAGATAATTCCGATATCTTAATTAATAACGAACGTAAGAGGGGGTGGAATTTTTAAGTGGTCCACCCTATATACTCGTCTGGCGGGCACTAGTAACCGCCAGAATGGTCTGGCAGATGTAATTGTGTTGATAAAGTAATTCAAAGAATATTTCCTGAAAGTTTTGGCCTTGTAAAAACACGTTAATTTTAACAATGGTTTTGACGTTTTCAAAAATTTAAATGCAGATGTCGCAACCGTGGTATCTCTGCCAGATCATTATTTCCTTATTCAGCTGATATTAAATTATAAATCTACAAATTTTCAGCTTTGTGCTCTTAGACTAATAGTATGTCCAATAAAGTGACTCCTGAGATATTGCATGTTGAAATTTTGACCGCCAGAATAACAAATTATTTTAATTTTTTACGATTTTAGGATATGGGTTAATATGTTCCATGTACGTATAAATAATTGTATAATAAAATATTACATAAGGCTATTGATGTTCAATTTTTGATGGATCAAATAAATTTAAATATTCCCCAAACAGCCATTAGACATCATAATAGTTATTTGAATAACTAGGCAGGGAAGTAACAGATTTATTGCTAGCATTACATTGCCGAGATGAAGCCAAAGCAGTAAATCTGTTTCTTCGCCGTGTGAAAGATATAATGTTTTCTCCGATTCTTTATACAGTGTGTTTAAAAAACTGGAACTAAAATGAAAACCTCTTTTAAGTAGGTATAACGGTTATAACTCACGAATTTTTAATTCTTATTATAATCCTTGTTTTTATAACTATATACCTTCAATTCTTATACACATCAGATGCTTATGCAAAGCAAGACTTCGAAAGAGAAGAAAAAAAGTAAGTTTTTAATGCCTAGGCAGTAAAAGTGTTACTTCTATGATCGAACAGTGTCGCTAAAAGTTACATTTAATGTCAATCGGAGAAAAAACATTTAATATGGCAATTATTTGAACAAACTTTGGAAGAAACCAAAGTTAATGTGTTTAAATTTTAATCAGTATTGTTCTGATTGTTATATTTAGTTTGAAATAAAAAATTCTTGTCCAGTCTTCATCTAGAGGATATTTGTCACAAAAAACAGTGGAGGTACCTACTACCCTAGTATTTATAGTTTACCCTTTAGAGCGTTGAAGTCCACGCTTCCATGTTTTGCACAATTTTCCTTTTCTCCTACTGAAATTTTTCAAAAACAGCATTATACCTGAATAAATACACTTTACAATAGCTTTTTGTTCAAGTAGATAGCTTGACAATTAAGGGAATGGCAGGCGCTCCAAATCGACTGATGTTTGTAAACTTTATCAAAATTACCCTTATTTTGTTACACTTAATTTCTCTTGGAAACCGATTAGAAAAAGATGCTTTCCAAGAATAAATCAGAAATTTAGTCGGGGTCGTGTTCGCCAAAGGGTGTATTTTTAATTCGAGTACTGTATGACTGAGACGCGATTGAAGGCGCGCGGACGTAGGTCAATATATTCGGAAAAAGTCCTCTTGCGGGGTTTTTTGTGACAAATATTCTCTAGAGCAGCCATACGCACCCTGCGGCCCCCCAAACTTTTATGTGCAGCCCGAAACACTATTAATGAAGGTGCTTTCTAAAACTATATGGGTTTCTAAGTTTTTAAATGCTTGATCGAGATGCGCGAAAACATTCGTTGCGCTAATTTTTAAATATACGTTTGAATAAATTTAGGTTTTGTTTTATTTATTATAGGTCCCGATTAACTAATTTTAAATGAATAACCTAAGAAAAGGTCGTCACCCAAACATGTTGCGGGCCGTGTAACAAAGGAAAAAAGGTCGAATATAGCTGCTCTAGAGAACAAATGAAAGGAGATCATCAGGACATCGAATTGGAACATCATACCAATTTGTAGTTTTATTCTGTTTCACAGGTAACCCATGTCCTAAGTGCTTCATTACTTGGGGCTAAATTGCATCGCGCCAAGCATAGAACATTTAATTTTTGTACAGTTGTAGACACGTTCTAGATTTCAAATTTGAACATATTACTATTTTGTACTCTTAACCATCGATATGAATATACAAGTAGGTACTGGAATCATACCAACCAGCAGTAAATAGTAGATTGTGCAACTAGAGTGGATATGATGGTCATATCGCACGAAGGCAAAGTTCGAGCACAACGCAGTAGACGGGTTGCTCAATCGTCATAAAAAACTATAAGCTTCCAACAAGAGTACGTATAACGTATGTAAAAACATCAAAAATTTTAAAAGTATAGTCCAAATAAGTTTTTGGACAGTGGCGTAAAATTTAGAAGGAATGAAGGTGTTACTTACCCATACCCATGCTGTACGCCACTGGAACAGTTTAACTGAAAGGTGTATCTAATGACACTAAAAGCGTTTGCCGAATTTACTAACATACCCAGACGTCCAAAAGAAAGAAGATATCAAAAAGTGGTCTACAAAGACCAGAAATAATTAACGATTGATAAATAAGTTTTCTTAATACCAATCAATATTAGTAAAAAACAAAATTTTATCTTTTAGTAATACATTATTAAATGTTAAACTCAACTTCATTTTTTTATGCTACTAAAAAATTATAAAAACTCCCGCACTATCAATCCCACCGCCCGAGTGGATTTTAACTCCAGAAGCCGACTGAACTTGTGCGGCGGTTTACAGATAATTGATGCTCTACGACTTACAGGTGAATAATACCCCATCCACCATTATCGACGCAGTAACTCACTAGTATTAATTTGAACGTCGTGTAAACAGAAATTAAATTACTGCGAATTCGCCACCCATCAAATCCTACAACGAATCATGCAAATTAACGAAAAATTAACATTGGTCTGTTCTATGATTTGAACATATGCTTCGAATGTCAATAATTTGAGCGCTCAACGCCATCCCGTTTATTTGCAAGTGGAAACCTCAAATTACCTAAGTTATAAGTTTCTACTTAAAAAAATTGTATGATTTCATCATGAGATCGTCTGTCATAATTGTCGTGTTTTGGCGTTTTTCATCATTAAGTATAACTTGTGAAATGGACTTAGGGCCTTTTAATAATAGTTCGAACTTATTAATAAAGGTTTATAAATAATTTTTGGCACTTACCACTTTTTAAACTTTCGATGCATCAGCAACAACACTTGCAAACTTCCAGATGAAGCTACGCTTTTTTAGTACCACAAAAACTGAAGGTTTTTTTTAATTCAATAAGAATGTACTAAAGAATATTGGTGTCATATTAAAACAAATTATTTCGAATACTTGATTTAATAGAACTTGAAACAAACACGCACTCAGGTAAAAATAAGTAAATGGTGAATTCTTTTACTATTTATTAAAATAAATACTGCTAAAAGATAAATATAGGAAATATTCATAAAGTGCAACAATTATATTTAAAATTTAAAGATACATATCGCACATTTATTAATTTATATATAAGACGTTTAATATTCTTAATGCTAACCTGACATTACAATAGATTGGGAAAACGGTTGGTCATAAGAAGACATTTCTTTTTTAGTTGTAGATGGTTTGTGACTGTTAAGTAGTCAAAAATTTTAAAACGAAACAATATTGAATTGTTTGTTTTATGATTCGAAAAGGTGCACCCTTTTGAGAATAGAATATTTGATCTCGCCAAGGACATCTCTACCTACTAGAAAAGCACCATAGGATTATTATCACATCTCACCACAAATTACTACATTCAAACATGATTAAAGAATAGTGTATGCAGGTAAATGGGCAACGAGCATTAAGTATTGGGGTGATGGTAGGTTGGTTATGATGATAGTGGTGGTGGTTATTGTGGTGGCGGTGGTGTTGTTGTAATGTTATTTGGCATTGACCACTGGGGATTTGGGAAGGTAATAAGAGATTTGAACGACCAGTCAAATGGCATGGATCATAAGCCACGATTTTTATATATTATTATACGAATATACGAATTAATATTCAAATTTCTGTTTGATCAAGTATTGTCCTGTAGATAGTCTTGAATCAGAAGTAGCAAATACCACTAATTCACAAAATCTCTATCTCTATTTGACACCACATAATTGGCAGTATTTCAAAATACTCTATCACTAAGATTGCAGCATCTATATCATATAATAACAACCTTGATTGTGGAAAAATTAACTGACAACTTTATTTATTACAAATATTTAAATTAGTGTTAAAAGAATGATATACAGAACTTTAAAAAACTTCACTGCAAGAGACTTTTAGTCCGCACTTGCCTCCTTTACACTCTACATATATATAGTCTTTGTATTTTTTTAATGTACTTTTTGGTTCCAAGAGATTTTCTAAATCTATAGTAGCACACAGAGAGATTTCTTTTTCTGCTTCTGTTTCTTCTCTGGGGATTTCTTATTGATTTGTCGAACTAAGTCATAAAATATCTAAAACAAATACATCAATTTAATTCATTCAAGATTAATTTTGGAGATAAATTACTTACATCATAAACATTTATTTTTGCTTTGGCAGAGGTTTCCATAAAGGCACAGCTGAACTGGCGTGAGAGACTGATTCCCTGTTCTTTACCAACTACTCTTTCATCCTCCAAATCACACTTGTTACCCACTAAGACCATTGGAACATCATCAGTATCCTACAATAACAATATACATAAACTTACTTGACAAAATCTCTAAACTGGCAATTCATGATTAAGATTGATTACAAATGAAAACGCAATGTGTGAATTTCTAATTATAGAGGACACAATAATGAATATATGTAATGCATTTGTTTTGGTGATAAAACCTAAATTATTCACCATAAATGTTTGTAAAGAAAACAAATGAACAAATCAGATTTTAATGAGATAAATAAAAAAAACTTAAAAGAGGTACTTGAAACCATTGATATTAATCTACTTCTCAAAAAACTCAAATATAATGGTTTCATAAATAGGATGCACTCATGATTTCAAGGCTATTTTCTATACAGATATCAAAAGACTAAAATAAACAATGTAGTTTCTAATTAAATTCCTGTATTTTCAGATACCCCAAGGCAGTGTTTTGGGGCATCTTTAATTCATGTTGTGCCTCAATGATTTAATTATGGAAGATTGTAAATTTCTAAATGTATTTACTGATGACACTCTACTAGCAGCAAGTGATCAAAATTTAGAAAATGCACTTGCCACTTCAAAATATTTATATTATTTATTTACGGGCAAGTCCATTTCAATTACAAATTATAATTTAAAATATCACACATTCTTATGGTGCTGTAGCACAAACAAAGATATTATACATGTCATACAGACTAGGGACATTTAAAATAACAAAATAGGTCCTATTTAATAAAATTTATTTCCTTGCTACAGTACATGCAAAAAGTATGTAGAAAAATAGTAGAAAGTTTAGGCTCTACAACAATTTATAATTCATTACAAAAAAAACGTGTTTGTAAAAAAAAATGGAGACCTTATTTTGCTTACAACCTTCATATTATGATATAAAATAATTATTTTTTTAGAATTACGTTTTATTTCATATTTACGCTGTTTTGTTTTACCAACAATGGCATTGATTAAAAAAATAATGAATTATAGTAAAATACTTTGGAAAAAATATTGTGAAATGATTACACAAGAAGCCACATATATTTTATTTCAGTTCAGATCAGTTAGAACCGAACAAAAACCGAATATCCAACCATAACCAAATTGCTGACATGAACCATAACCGTAAATATATTTTGGTTCATAGCCCTGGTATCAGTCCGTCATTTTCTCTTAAAATAACAATCTGATATCAACTTGACTTCCGGAATTTCGGTATCTCCATCTGGGGCTTACCAAATTCCTTTTGCGACCCAAACCACAATAAAAGCTGACCCTCGATTTATTTCCAGACCAAATGCGTCAGAGATAAGGATTATTTTCTTAAGAGGTAAAAAGGTGATTTACATAACATAATTTGTTTTGTTTTACATTTTTTGCGAATTTTTAGCAGTGCCCTTTGTACGGCAGATTTGTATGGGTGAAAGCTAATCTTAAGTGTCCACAGCAATAAAATTATGAGTACAGAGCAAAAATTGATGTTTTAGAACAATTATTTCTGCTGTTTATTTTATAATAAAATTGCAAAATTGCAACTGCAAAAAGTAAGCCAAGTCACTAAACAGGTATACCAACTTAATAATGGCAAATTACTCTCTTAGAGTCCTTATTATGACAAAAGTCAGGTGGCCCCTAAACCACTGAAAAGGGTAGAAGGACACTTTATGATACAATATCCAGAACCTGAAGAAATCGCCAATCAGACATGTACAATAAGCCTAGAGCTTCAGTACATTTCAGTCAGATAGAAGATATCATGTAGATAAGGTAAGGTTCACCAAATCCCCTAAGAAAATTCTGGAAAACAACAATTAATAATTAAATAAAGTATACATCATTGAGAATGTACACCAGAGATGTACATTTTAGACATTTTTAAATTGATTATTAATAATAATAATAGCCTTTATTACCCAACATAAATCAATCCCTTTATAGAGCAAACCAACAAATCAATAATACAGTAAAGGTGACACATATATATGCATATTATAAAAAAATTGAATACAAAATAAATAAATATAAAAGATAACAAATATATATAAAAAAAAAAAAAAAAGGAATTTTGGTACACCCAAGTGCTTTAATACTTTCCAAACTATCTGTGAAGATATCTGATGAATTGCAATATAATTTAAAGTTATTAGACATGATAGGTGAGCTTAAATACTGTTTATTGACCAGGGAATATTTAAATTAATGTTAGCTAAAATAGCAAGACAGTCAATTAACCCATTCGTGATTTTATATAAAGAAGTCAAAGAAGCTATAATTCTCCAAAATTCAAGACTACCCATGTTAAAACTATCCAAACGTAGCTGAAAATCGATTCCTCTTAGAGGATATACACCATATACTTTTAATGCTCCAAAGTCCTTGAATCCACAACAGTTTTGTATAACAAAACCATACATTTTGTTTGCATTAGAAACCTTCATATTAATATGTTCAACAAAACTTAGTCTTGAGTCAAAAGTGACACCCAGATAAGTGATCTTTTCTGGTGTATGCTATCACTTTAATTAATAGAAGAGTTGAAAGTAAAACCTGAGGACTTAAAAGTAATGTGAACGTTTGGCTTTACACCAATTTAACAGTTCATTAACTCTTATGAAAATACCAATAATCATAACTCAAGTAGGGTGATCGAATTGAAAAAGTGATCCTCACCATGACCTGGTCATACTGTCAACAGTTTTACTGCTGTATGTTAAGAATAATAAAGAAAAACATAATGTGTAAAAGAAATGACAGTTCAAGGTTCATGCTTTTATAAATTCTCCAAAAATTCTGATAGCTTCTTGTATGTAAATTCTATGACCGAAACATTTAAATTAATTAAACCTATTGTATCTTCAACTAAGTTTTGATTAATTTAAGAAAATATCATGTGCTATTTGACAAAAGAACGCTTCTTTATAAATCTTAAATATTGGAAACTTTTTAATTGATATTTAAATTGCAACACTATAACTGATACTTAATAAGTTTCATAAATTTAAAACATGTGCATTTTGGTCCTTTATTTAAATATGCACTTTATACCTAATACAAAAAAAGAAATTTTGAATAATTTGCTAGTGCTGGTTAAGAAATATAGCTAGGTATACAAGACATTTTTCTAAATATTTTTCAAACTTGCAAATAAACCTATTTTATTTTATGAAAATTTAAAATAAATTTCAAAATGAATTATACCAATGTATGATTAAAATTAGGAACAAATATATTTTTTTCTTTTTCTGGAAGCAGATTTGCCTTTATCTATATGGTAACAATTACAGTAGTTGTATCATATAAATAGATAAGGTTACAACTATCAATTTTGTCACTTCCTGAAGAATGGAACAAATAGTTTTTATTTGAGTTCACAAATTATGATAATAGTTATACGATTAAAAAATACAAAATTGAATTAAGTAACTATCTGTCAACATTTTACAATAGGTTTAATTATTTTAGAATTAATATTCTAATGTCAGGTAATAGGGACTTAAGTCAAAAATTTTTGTTTTCCAGAAAATGTAATGAGACATTAGTATTGGGCAATATAAAAAAAAATTCTGACTTACTGCCTTTATACCAATTCACTGCACTTTAACAAAAGGTATTAATACCAATTGAGAGAAATTATGACTTAAAACCGTATTTTATCTAAATATTGTAAAATTGTAACTTAAGCCCTTTGTGCCTGACATCGAAGAATTAGTAAAGTAATTTTATAGAACACAGTACCTTTACTCTAAGTATTTGCTCTCTTAAATCTTGAAGATCATTAAAAGTAGACTGTGCTGTTATTGAATAAACCAAAACAAATCCTTGACCATTTTTCATATACAAATCCCTCATTGCTGTAAATTGTTCCTAAAAATAACATGGGCTTCAAATAACCTCATTAAAAATAAGTTATTTGGTTAACATACTGTTCCAGCTGTATCCAAAATTTCGAGCATACATTGTTGACCATCAACTTCAACTTGTTTCCTATAACTATCTTCTATTGTTGGATCATATTTTTCTACAAATATACCTTGTACAAATTGTACAGTTAAAGCAGACTTGCCTACACCACCTGAACCTAGTACAACAATCTTGTACTCACGCATTTTTTTAAAAACCTGAAAGGAAATAAAAATTGTCTTTATTTTTATAAAAGTTAATTTTTATCTAAATCATTTTTATTATTAGGGAACACTTGCTACTCTAAAAAAGCCCATTTCAGTGATTATCAGCGGTTAATACTAACCACAATAGAAAGGAAATGGATAGATGGTAGTGGATATGAGCAATGACGAATTTCTTAAATTAGATGAAATTCTACAAATTTTTGCAAACATAATAGTCTTTAAAATCATCCTCTCAATCGAAATATTCATATACCAACATTAAACATAAAACATTTAACAAAACTACAGCATATAAGCAGGGGTTTTCTAAAACCTATTTAGTTTTTCTAAAATATAGAGTAGGTACATACGTAGACACAGTTAAAAACTATATCCACTTGTCCAGTTCCAGATGTATTTTCGCTTTCTATCACCTCACAAAATGTTTACTTTTACCATTAAATTCGATTAAAAAGCACTTTATTTAAACTGTCATCCCAGCTAACAATCCATTGCATTGCATTCCATTCGAAATTTGTTTGGACTCACTTCAGGTGGATATGATAACTGTGCGTTTTTCACTAAATATATACACTTACCGTGTTTCTTGCACTTCGCTCTACTAATATACAAAAAGAAATATGAAATTAAATTAATGCTGATGGTCTAAGACGTACATTTCATAGTTAAATTTGTCACTATTCATCAACTATGCTCACTTGCGTTATTACTTGTAGCAGCGCATGCCGCACCCGACAACCGATCAACTATCATTAACGATCACCTAAATCGTTTACGTTCGTCTGCGTTCCGAATCGAATTTATAACGGTTAAAGCAGGTTAAAGGTTCTGACAAATATTCACATTTATTTATTTATTTATTTATTTCCATGGAATAACATGCTGTTTGTATCAAAATTGTCTATTATACAGTATGTTCGGCGTCTTTCTATTCTCTCTCGCGATAATTTGAATCCATACATATGCAACCAGTATATCGCCAATATCATAATCCACTTTTGGCATAAATATGGTCCTCGTTGCGGCACTACTGAGCATGCGCATTGAATCGTTTTCAAACGATGCTGTCATTAGCTTCGTTCGCGGAGCCGATCCCGAACGTATTGTGAACACTAAGGTAGACCATACACGGATGCATAAACATTTAAACAATACAAATCCAGTTATAATATGCCGTGTAATGTTTACCTTAGTGTTCGGAATCAGTACAGGATTGTTATTGCTAACTAAGCTATTCAACCAGGGACCCGGACCGAAATTAATTAAACGATTTTAGTTCGGTTCGGCTTCTAGCGAAACAAAAAATTTTGGGTCCGTTTCATTTTCGGTTCTTATAAAAATATTTCGGTTCGGTTCTGACCAAATTTTTCGGTCCAAAGGGTTCTTTTCGGTACAATTTTTCCATACTTTTATAATTACATATAAAGTCGGACAAGCACTTAATCGGTTCGTTTCGACGATGGTAGGTGGTGTTTTTCTCATCTGTAAACCACGCGACGAAAATTAATAATAATAATAAACACTGACCGAGCAGATGCAAGCAGCGATATTCATTTCGCTAGGGTTTTCCACTAGACGGTCCGTGCTTATCGGAACAATAGAAAGGCCCTTTGCAATCGTTTTCAAATAATAATTGAGAACACTGACATTAAAAACACTTTAAGAAAGTTTATACCTGTTGTCTCCTAACCATTGAATAACCGATCGCACCTAAGGTGTTGTCAATTGTCAACGTCAAACATGAACCACGAAATATGAATCAAAGAATCTTTTATTTTTGGAAACTAAAAATATACAATTTTTATGACGTTATTTGTTTCATGTTAATTTAATTATCTTTGTTGTGATCTTTGTTTCAAAATATACTACTGCCAGAGACCACAGATAAGTATTGTATTTATCAAAATTAAAATTACTAATTAGCCCACCAAAGGTATATGTTTTGTACAATTCAATTAAGTTCATATTAAAAATGTCAGAAATAAGTGATATTACAACGGATGCTGTACCAAATCCCAGAAACGAAGAAGTTGAACATGCTGAAAATGAAAATGCGAATAATAATGATGTACCTCATAACAATGATCAATTTAGCAAAAGCAGTCCCTTTAGTAGCACAAAAAAGAAAAATAATCCAAAAAAATATAATCAACCTTCAGGTTAGTAAATTGTTCTTTTCAATATTCAACTCAGAACATGTCAAATTGTGGGTGAGTGACTGTTTCCTGGCATTCCCAGACAAAGAAATGTGACTTTCCTCAACAAAGGTTCATAACTGACCTATACCTAGCTTTTGCTACCCACACTTGGAATAATTTTATTTCCAATTGCAAGTGACTACCTATTAATGAAGTTGTTATTCTACATGTTTCCATCTTAAACTTTATCATTAACATCTCTCAATGATATTAAATAGTACATTTCTAATATTATTTGTAATATGTACCTACATCAGTAATGGAAAATATTTTAATATTTACAGCTTCTGCTACGATAATAAATATATCAAAATCAAGAGAAATACATATTGGAAATAATCTAACAATCAATATGAATGGAAATGACAAATTAAAAAAGACTGACATACCTGAGACTTCTGCAATTAAATCTTTAAAGCAAAGTAAAATACCCATCACAAAGAAAGACTTGTTGTTTGCTGCTACACACATGGATTCTGAATGGAAAGGTGTTGCAAGAGCCCTTAATATTGGCGAAGGGCAAATATCTCAATTTATTGCTGATAATCAAATATATGGAACTAAAGAAGTATGTTTTACCAATTCATACAAAAATATTAATTTATTAGAATATATTTCAAAGTACAATTATTTTTAGGTCATATATCAAGTGTTACTGGACTGGTACCAAAATGATCCAGCTGAAGCAAATGTTGGTAATCTATGCACAATTTTGTGGGATAACTGTCAGAAAGATGTTGTTAGAAGATGGAGCCAACGAATAGAATAAAATATTTGCCATTTTATATGTATATATTATGTAAAGCATATCAGATATTTACAGGACATCTAACAATACTGTTTATGAGCAAAAACTCTATCTAAAATAAATATTTGATAAATTTAATCATTAACTACCATAGCTTGAGAAGGTTTTGCATAAAAATGTATCTACCATTTTCAGACTTTTTAGCTGCCCTGTATGTTTGTTTTTATATTTCTCACAATACAATTTTTATTAAAATAATAGTATAATAAGAAACGTGTTTCATTTATTGCACTAGATTAAGGTTTGAACTTTTTGAGGGATGGGTGCATAAGAATCAAAGACTGAAATATATTGACACAGGTTAGTTCTGTTATGTTAAATATTAAGGATTTTTGCTGAGTGCTATAATTTTGTCAAATTCAATAACGGTAAATCAGCACTTTCATTACTACATTGAGAATAAATCAGGAATATATTTTTTGATCACTACTGTGTAATGTTTATAAATGAATACAGGTACTATGAAAAGTACCCTTCTCTCTGTTTTTGCAGATGACTTATCTTAGATTTCAGTGTCCTAAGAATAACAAATATGTAGATAACTTGTTTTTAAAATAACCAAAGGATCATACATAAGGTAAATGTGAAGTCAATCAATTCAAATTATAGATAATAAAAGTTCTCAATTTTAACAAATTATTGTGTACAATTTCTGTGAGATTTAGGCTATTCTTATATTGAGATTCTAGATTATTAATTATATACCACATTAAATATTTGGTCTGCAAAATTGCATTCAACAGGAAACTAACAAATTTCAAAAATTTGAATTATTTATACAAAATACATAATTAAAATAATTTATTCAAGATACAGAGTTTAAACATAATATGTCAGTATAATGTTATAATTCTAAAGTATATTGTGGAAGTATAATACATAATTATTCCATGGGTGCATCTATACATGGTAAATTCCACTTATATTTGTCTACTAGTAACTGGTAGACTTCTGGAGATATTTTATGAATAGTTGTGAAAAAATCTTCATCTTCTTCAGTCAGCTCATAGTTATTATTTAAATTTAAGTTGAGGACAGTAAAAAGAGTAGAGGGAACATCTCCTTTTAAACAAGTAAGAATTGTTTCAGGATCTGGTTTACTCTCAGACATTGCTTTCTGCCTTAACATTTTTTTGATGCAAGCTATGTCTCTGCTGTGTTGCTTAATTTTCCTTAAGTAATTCCTAGCCAAATTTGCTTTTTTAGAAGATTGTTGTTGTCTAATAATGACAGGATTCTTAACAACTGTTGAAGGAGCCATACTTTTTCTGCCTAAACTATTTTCTAAATAAGTTTCATTTGGAATTGAAGTATTGTCAAATTCATGTTCATATTTGTCTGAATTTTTTGCACTGTGTGGTTCTACATCTGGTGTTTCTTTTTTCACATTAACTTTAAATTCTAAAGGATCTAAGTCATAATCATGTGATGTGAATAAGGGAGAAGAAAAATTCTGCAAGGAATTATTTAACTTGCTAGTTGATGGTTTGGAAACACTAGCAGGTAATTTAGGTTTTATATCTGGTTTTGCTGTTGTGACTGAGGGGATTATCATACCATTCTTGTAGACAAAAGATTCTACTCTTTGGGATCTGTTAGAGTCTGTATCTAATATAAAAAGTGACCCATCTGAACTAGCTGGTAGTATCTGGATTTCTTGTAAACCATTAGATATAAACATTTCAGTTTCTAATGATTCTTCTTCACCACCACAATCTCCATCGAGTGTCGGTATAGCCCCCTGAAGCAAACGCTTTTTTTGACTATTTGGAAACCATTTATCTTCAAAATGATGTTCGCAAATAACTTTGTTTCTCAATTGATCTTCCTCCAAATCGCAAAAGTGAGGTTTATTAGCATTTTCAATCCATGCTTTACAGCGTTCCTTGTGCTTTACTGGGTAATGAAAGAAATGAACGTTTTCGGTAGTTTTAGTTGTGTTTTGACAATTTTTGTAAGAACATCTGCAACCTCCCATTACTAAAATATAAATACAATTATATTTTAGCTACGAAAAATGTGCTATTCGTTATATGAGATTACTTACTACTATATGAAAACTTTAATCACCGTTTAATATTTATTTCTTCATTAAAAATAATAAACCTCGATTGGCAGTTGACAGATGAAGTAAAGTAAAAGTACGCAACGAAGGTTATTTCGTTCGCTGTTGGTGCAGTATCCACTAGTGTAAATTACACCAGTTACACCACCTTATTTACCCTAATTTACTTCCTCCTTATTTCTTACACACATGTCGAGTGTAATTCACTTCTGCTAAATAGCTGGTGGAGAAAATATCCACAAGTGGACACCACATCGCCAACAGGAAGGTATAGTGGATATTACATGCACCGGGCCAAACGAAAGCTTTAGCGCCCGTTGGTGTAGTTCATTCCTACACCAACTCACACTAAACCTTTCGTTTGGCCCGGTGTAAAATCCTGTTGGCGATGTGGTGTCCATTAGTGAATATTTTCTCCACCAGCTATTTAGTAGGAGTGAATTACACTCGACATATTTATAAGGAATAAGGAGGAGAACTAGAGCAAATAAGGTGGTGTAACTGGTGTAATTTACACTGGTTGACTTTGCACCAACAGCGAACGAAAGAACTTCATACGTATCACATAAAGTAGAGTTCGGTAATTCAAACTCCTGTCACATATTTATTTGTTTCGTACCATTTGCATATAATTATTATGCGATTTGTGTTTGCGTAACATTCTTCTTTATGCTTCTTCCATGGTTCGCTAATTTGTATTCATATAGGATATTTTCAAATTCGCTTCTAGTTTTTTCAAAATTGTTGCAAAACCACAGTTGAGAAGTGGTTAAGACTATCATTGGTGAAGGGCAAATAAAAAAAGTAGAAAAAACTAAAGAGAATTGTCATTTGTCATTTCTCAAATTTGAAATTTTCCATTGTCGGTTTATTTTTAACGTCTTTTCAGTTCGTAAATGGTTTAGTTGTTCAAGAGTTGGAAAAGTACTAATAAATTGGTAGTTTATCAACGATTGTTGAGTAAATTTAACGCTTAAATGGTAAGTACAATATTGCATTATTTAATATCGACTTGAGTTTATGTGTATCGCTACATTTTGATTACAAATATACTGTTCATGTGCATTTGAATTGTTTAGAGAATGTTGTCATATCGCCAAAACACATTCTGATAATCAATTGGTACTTATATATATTATTAATGTTTGGACCAAAATTCCATTCAGTATCAGATTGTGATGTAATGTACGAGGAGAACAGGTATCTATCTTTACAGTAAAATATTTCTAAGTTATAATTACATAAATTTACATACATATTTAAGAAGACACAAAAATTTTAAAAACATATAATCTAATATTGATATGGAATCTCACTGGAAACTTCCCAAAACCAAAACAAACTCAAATCTGGGACTAGTTCAATTTGTAAAACTTTTACAACAAAGTATTTCTAAATAAAGAATTTTATAATAAATAAAATTATTTTCAACATCTTTTCTTCACTATCTGCGATTCATTCTATATCTATTTACTTTTGTCTATTTTGCTTTTCTCTTAACTTTCTTTCTATGCTACAACTTGTCTATTCTGCCTCAGTATTTCAAAATAAAAATATATTTATTTTGTCTACTTTATTTCTCTTAACAGCTTCTACAGATCTGTTAACATTAATTTTCCAAATTCAACTTATCTAACCCAGACCAATCTTCAAAAATACAAAATAACCTTTTGACTGTTATAATTTCTAATTCCCAACTTCTCAAATAACTTGAAATAAAGAAAATAGATAATTTAAATTTATTATTTCCTTTGACAAGATTTATTATTAACGCAATGGCCATAGCACTTACAAAATAAATAAATAAAAATAAAACAAATTTGTAAAAAAAAAAAAATCATAATTGGCATGTCAGATTACAGTGGATACCGGATTAGACAGGGGCTGGATTACTGAGGGTTTACTGTACTACTGTTTAGTATATTTATTTATAATAAGCAGAGCCCGTATTTTAATATATTATTCCAGGTATATAGTCTACATTTTATCAAAACATTTGTTGATTTAATATTAAAACTTTTCTTTCTATATTGATAAACAGAGCTCGAAATTATATAATTGATGTTAAATTAGGGTAAAGGCAGAGACGATTGTCAATACCCAGATAAAAGATTAAAACAACTAAATTATTATGTATGATTTTAGTGCAAATGTTTGAATGTGTGGTGTGTTCTGTATTCATATCTGTTATTTATATGATCTTTAAACATAGGGGCTCTAGTAATATAGAATTGGAAGGATTAGTAACCAATAAAACTGATCAAAGCACTAGTCCTTGAACTAAAGACACCATCCATCCCGATTTTAAACCACTAATCCTGATTTAACATGTGCCTTGATTTTGTCCTGCTTCTGTCTCATTAAAAAACAATTATTTCATTTAAGCTGCCTAAAAATACAATTTTTAAGGTGACTGTAACAACGCACTCTATTAACCCACTAAGCATGAAACATCTTTTTTTTTATAGATACTTAATATATTTTTAAAATGATACTTATATCCCATAGATGTTTAAATTTTAACATCATATTCATTAGCATCCCTTCCATATATCTACAACTGAAGTTTCAAGTAAGCAGTAATACTTGCATTAGTAGTTACATAAACAACTTCTTTTTTGTTAATTTATATAACTCACAATAATGTCACATACAGGTCAGTACAGTAATTTGATTAAGTTACACATTTTTAAGATGGTTCTCTTTATTCTTTACACCTTTACACTGCAGAGATCCAGAGACAGGGATGATTGCTTGATACTTACCATAGATATAGCTACTTAAGGCTTGGGAATGTTTTATGGCCAGTTCTCCTCTGGGTGGTATTCAGTATTTCATTCAAATTTCTTTCTTTTACTTGCAATATTAATTTAGAATATTGAATTTTATCATACTTTTTCTGTAGAAGACATTTTTTCTATTGTATTATATAGATGAAATAAACCAGATCATATAAAATTTACAAGATAGACAGAGCGGCAGTATAATAGATACATAAAAAAAAAGGTAGAACTGTATTGTATTTGGACAATCACATTTGGTTCATTAATATGATTTTATGTTATGGACATTATAACAACATCTACAAGAAGTAAAAAGGCTTTTTTTGGTACAACAGGAATATCACATCTGGTTTATTATAAAGACATTTTTAGGAACTTCCATTAACTTTAAAAAAATGTAATGTTTTTGATTTGTCCCCCTTTCTACTTTTCAAAATATGGTTACTTGTTTGAACAAAATAGGAAAATATTTAAATAATACCAAAATAATTAAGAATGTAAGAAGTAAAGTATTTGCCTTTAATTTATCATTACATGTACCATAAATATTATTTATAAAAGAATATTGAAGTCATTTTGTAATTGCATTTGTCTAATCAAAATAGAATAAAAATGTGTTCTATCCAAATAAATAAACTTTTTTATAAGCTCTTTTCTTTACATATAGAAATATGTTTTTTATAAATTATATTGTTTATTGTACCTATAATATATATTTTGGAGATTTCTTTAACACAATTTAATAGAATACTCATATTTTGTTTTAATTAGTCAGCATACCTACATGCATTGTAAATACCTATCTAATTAATAGTGCAGATATATTTTTTATTTTGAGTCAATAGCAAAATATCTTAAAATTACTATCTAATTAAACAGTTTAAATTTAAATGCCTAAAAAATGTTAGAATTCACAATTTAAATATGAGACATCATTGAAAAGGTAATTTTATGAAGAATTCAGCAATATTACTATTCATTGAATTACTCTCTAGAGGGTTAAAAACTGTTATGTATTGTAAAGTGTGATACTTCATTTGACAGCTAATTTTATTAATTTAATGCACAACATAACAAAACATAATTGAATGAAACATAAACTTAAATAAATTTGTGCTACGCATTAAATTGCTAATAAAATTAGCTTTCAAATAAAGACTCACATTTTACAATTTAAGTTTTTTATTCCGCTAGAAGGCGTTTAAATCAAAAGCAACACAATTATCTATAACATTATATTTTCAATGATGTGTCATACTTGGTACCGTCCTCATTTAAATTGTATTTGTTAAAGTGATAATGGGGGGATGATGTATGACAAAAATTGACACAGTTCCTGATAATGACTGGTACGTTTTCAACTGGCAACCCTGTATTTGCGTCTTACGTTATAATTATTAGGTGTTTTGATAAATTTAAAACAAATATATAGGTAAAGGTAGGTACTATAAGTTAGTTTTTATTTAATCAACAATAAAATATAAAATAAAAATAATACATAAAAAAAACTTTATTTCTTAACTTATTTACGCTTAAAGGCGGGTACAGATCTGAGCACGTACGCGTATGAGGCAAGCCGAGGACGCATGAGCATGCAGATGTGGACGGGCTTCCGAGGCGCGGCAAATTGCCTCGTTGTGTGCGCCGTACGGTCTCGCTTTGATCCTTTTGTTGGCGGTACATCAAAGGGAGGCAATGGCCAGTACGTGATCAGTCTAGACGGGGAACTTGTATTTGTATCATGCAGCACCGTACAGATTATAGCGAGTTTTTAGGATTTATTTTGCTTTTCCTGGATTTAAATAATCAGCGTGTTATCTTAAGAGAGCAAAACGCTAGTTCTATTACAACACCATAAAAAAAGTATATCCTTGGCAGGAAATCGACCATCGATTCCTTTGTTTCCTTTTTTCTTTAATGTGTCGGATAAAATAATAAAACATGCCCTCAACTAAGCAACGTCATCCTTCATGTTTGTTTAAATTTTACGAATTTTCTGGGTATACGGTTGCCTGCTCGTGAATTTAATGGATCAGTGGCGAACAGCGCCTCGTCCGTCCACCATTCGTGTATACAAAATGCGTCGCACGAGGTATTCGGTTCAGCATCGGCTTGCCTCATACGCGTACGTGCTCAGATCTGTACACGCCTTGAGATAAATTCGCTTGGGATCTCACTTGGAAACCTCCTGGTTACGCCACTGGTTCTTGAGAACCCAGTAAAATGATTTGTCCGTGTTGTGGCCCTTGATATTACCAAGGCTTACCACCATTTTTTTTTTGATGCTACCAAACGAATATTCATTAGACCCCGCATTAGACAAAATATGAAACAAAAATAAATGGCCCCAAGCTTCGTGATAGGAAAGCCTTATGTGTAAAATGTTTGAAAATTAATTGCTATATGATATATTTAACAGATTTGAACGAGCAAACTGTACCGGGTGTTCAAATTAAATTGTTACAGTTAAATACCGCCTTTTATAAAAAAACGTTTCAGAAGAAAGTTTTATAGGAAAAACATTTTGACTAAAATCGCCATAATATGGCCAACTTTTTTTTCATGCAGCAACATTTTCAAGTAGGTGTTACTCAATAAGTAAAAGTCCACTAATTTTTTTCCTTTAATAGTTTCTTATTTTTTTATGAACTTTAAAAGAATATCTAAAAAAAATGGGGTTCCAATTTGAAAAAAAGTCCACCTCGATATGGCCATATTATGGTCAGCTAAAAAAAATGAATTTAGACAAAATGTTTCCCCCAAAAAATTATAAAACTTGTCTAAATTTTTTTTATATAAAATGCATATTTTAAGCGGTATTTAACTGTAACACTTTAATTTGAATACCCGGTATATGGGCGACTTAACATCAAGTTGGTTCTTGCCTTAAGACACGCAGGTTCTGTAACATTAAACATCTATTGTCCCGATAGCCGAGTGGTTAAGACAGTGTGCGTAAAACACGAATAGGTGGGTTCGTATCCCATCTCGGGACATAATTTTTTCAATTTTTCATTATTTCATAGGGGCAATTTTAAAAAATAATTTATTTGGAGACTTCCAAAGGAATTTATATATCTTTGTTTTTGGATCAATAAACTAAACTAATTTTTCTCTCTCTCTCTCTTTATTGTCGAGAATTTCCAAATTTAATCCACATAAAATTGCGTTTCAAAATAAATGGTTATTATTTTAATGCCTTTGTCTGTAAACCGTTTTCCACCTTGAAGAGATTTAGTTGTCTAAAACTGTTCGTTGAGTTAGTACGGCGCGTTACAAAGATAAATCTGTGAAATAAATCTGTTGCTTTATTGAAAACATAAACGTTTACAAATTTGGCGGGTTAAGAATAGGTGTGATTGAGACCCTCGTGTCTTAAGGCAAACAGTTTTTATTTTATGCATATAAATAGATTGGTACGCCTCCAAAATGGTCTTTAATATGTTTACTGAATTGTCTACATTCGGGATAAATTTAGTTTTGTTATTTTGTCATCTGTGAACCGAGTCAATTGCGCGATTTAATATTTCTTGACAAAAGATGAACTTTTTCACAAATATTGTTAAGAAGTACGTAAAGGTATGTTTTTCTTTTCTTTTTTAAATTAATTATCACAAAATATTTTAATAATTTATTACTTCAACCGAATATGTATACCTACTTTGTTTAAAAATTAAATAAATGTTTAATGATCTATTTAGTAAAACAACATTATAATAATTTATATTTTTTATTTTAATGAACCTTCTATAAATATGATTAAATTTGCAACGTCCTTGAATTTTTGGCAACTATATTTTCACTTGAAATTAAAAATATAATTCATATTGACACACATGGTTTCAGGCTGGCTAGGCGCTAGAATTAACACAACGTTCTGTATGTTTCCGTGCATTATTACATTTAAAAAAAAAACTAATTTATTGATTTAATGAAGATACTGTTTTTATTGTTGAATGGGCATAATTAAATTATCTACTAATACCAATCAATTCCGTCTATCATCATTGGCGGCGGAATTACTTTACTTGGGAGGGAGCTTGAACCTTGCTAGAGTGGAGTGAACTTAAAATCTAATGCCCAAATCGGAGCTACCTTAGTACGTAATATGAAGGATAAGCACCCCCTTCTCTTCCGCTGCCTATGTCTATCATTAAACATACGTCTTCCAAAGGCATTTATGCTTCATTTATTCTGCGCATTCCAAGGACATCCAGCATTTGTCTTTCCATTGCTTTCTATAGGTATTCTATTTTACTATAGTATTTGATAATATATTTGCTCTTAATTTTATTGAATCCATATATGTAGGATTTAATAAATTACTAGTTGTTCCTATTCTCTTTGTTGGACAAACAACATTGCTTCATAGGAGCTGTTACAAGAACTCTTCAAATTATTTTTTAAAACTTTAAAATACTTTTGATGTTAATGGCTTCTCTTCTGCATTCTAAAATTCAGGAGTACCTCAGCTTTCTCCCCAACGCTATTTCTAATATCCGCGATGTGTCCATCACTATCCTATCCATAGCTTTGAATAAATCACCAAACCAATATCTTCAAACGAGCCTTACACCAGCATGTCCTTCTACTCTTATTGAGGATTTTGATATGATCTTCAATTGGGGACTAAAACACAAATTACTATTCTATGCTTCAACAAGTTGGTGTTAACATCTCTCAAGATATGATTTGGCTTAATCATGTAACTGCTGCTGGTAATAAATTGAGGCAACTGTAGACAAGAAGACAAGGGATCTCTTCTTCACATAATATTTAACCGTTTGAAATATTATTGAATGAAGTGTTTGATTTTCCTCAATTATAATTTAAAAAAAATGAACGCAATAGAATCCTGTCTGAAGGTTAAATTTATACAGAATTTCGTGTACACATCTGGTTTGAATTATTTTGGAATTCCCTCGAACGTCCCGGAATTCCCCGGAAGTTTCGGAAATCATGCAAAACTCAAGATGAAACTATCTTAGAACATTTAGAAAATCTAGATTTACTAAATTCTACTAATTCAGTAACCAGAATATAATGACAAATTTTTCTTTTTTAGAAAATTTAGAATTGTTTTGGGTAGTCCCGTAATTCTTTAGATCAGCGTTACTCAAAGTGTGGTCCGCGGAGCCCTGAGGCTCCGCAAAGCCTTTGTGGGGTCTCCGCGAAGAAAATAATAGTCATAATAAAGGGAGGGACTTGGTTAGAGGATCTTTTTTTAAGTCACTAAGAGGAAGGAGGATATTATTTTGCTTGGAGGACTTTTTTTGTGGGGGCTCCTCGAAAAAAAGGAGGTACCTGGCTCGAGGCCTTGTCCTTTTTTTTTGTTAGTCACTAAGAGGAAGAAGGATATGATTCTGCTCGGAGGAAGGGATCTCAAATATTTCGCTTTTCAAAAAGGATCCGTCACCAAAAAAGTTTGAGAACCACTGCTTTAGATAATACGGAATTCCTGTGTACCTAGTTTCTCTAATACATTTACCCATCGACCCTATCCCATAAAAATTTGAATAAACAGAATAATTCAGATTTGTTTTTTTTTTTGTATTACAGAATGAGCCTTCTGATATTAATATGAATGGCACGATGGATACCAATTCCGAAGGGGGTAAGTTTTGTTTTACAATATAAAATAGTATGGTTTTTGTTTGTGAAAGCACTCTTTCGTTTTATGAACATTTTTAATGATTTCCAAGATTCATTGATGTTTTAGCAGATTTAGCACGATAATAAGGGACATGTTACGCATAACGAAGACGTTATCAAACAGAATAGTATTATTTTAAAGACAGATTAGGAAACCATGTGACCCTTACATAGTTCGAAAATCCCTTGCGCTTTTTCTATTAAGTATACTACATGTATGTCAATTGAATATTCAAAAAGAAAATTATATAAATATTATGATTATTTCGGCAAAATCACCGAAATCGTATAAAATTCGGATTTTTTAAATTAAATCTTTACTGTGAAGAAAATAAGTGCCAATTTACAGAGGAATAACTCGTCAAATGAATTTTCGTTATTATAAAAAAACCGTAATCTATTGGAAAAAGAGGAAATTGTCGTTTGGCATAAAAAATAAAGGAAATTCGTAGATATGGCAATAAGTGGAAACATTTTTATTATTTGCTCTCTATTGAAATCACCTACAGGTAAAGGACGTCGTTTAATACACTAGTGGAAAAAATTAAGAAATCAAAAAAATTTCGATTTTTTTCGATTTTTCGAGTGGCTGTATCTTTGGTAAAAATGGTCGTACGTGAATGAAAAAAAAAAGCAATTTGAAGCTTAAAGTGTCTAGTTTTATGGATCTTGCGATAAAAAACATTTCCAACCAACAATTAGCACAAAATCCTGATGAATATCATGGATAGAAAAACGCAATCCTTCAATTTCTTAAAAAATTCACTCGCATGAAACAACGGGATTATGCACACTCAACATTATTCATTTTCCCAATATTCTCAATATGGCACGTGATTTTCTAAAAAACCTCAAAAAGACCTGTTTTCCGAAATTCTTAAAAGTCATGCTAGGGATGAAAGAACATGCCAGAACCTTCCTGAGATATTGACGAGAGAAGAGGAAATGACGCATTTTCGTTCATTTTCTTATAACTCAGCAAGGAAGGGTCATCTCGAGGCCATAAAAAAGGAATTGAAGCTAACTGAACCACCTATCCAATGCATATAGTGGTTATGTCGAGAACATTTTTTTCAAGCCCGTACACTAAAAATTAAAAAAAAAATTCTATCCATGATATTCATCAGGTGGGCTCAATGTTTTTAAATCACGAAACAATTTTACATAATAATGACGTTTATTAATATAATTTTATAATTAAAATTACCAAAGGTTCAATAAAAAAATCTAATTTCATCATGACATATTGCACATGTGGCACTAATAAAATTTAAAATTATATTTCTTACCAAAAATATTAACCCTCTGCTAAATTTTTGTAACAATATATGAATAAATTTTAAAATGATTATCAAAAAAAACGAAAACATAATTTTTAATTTTCAGTAATTAAATAAAATTGAATCAGATTTCTAATATTTCGAATTCCAACACTACCATTACTTACGGTATTTATTTTTTTTGTGTCGAAATTTATCAATAATTACCAGACATAACGAGGAGATGTAACTACTAACAAATATCGTGCGATCCTGAATAAGACATATTCTAAGGGACATAGGAGGGTATAATATTCGCTGTCATATGCCTATTTCATTATTCTCGTTTTGTTTACAAAATTATTTACATATATTAAAAAAGCTAAAATAATTCAAACAATTTTGAATCATTAGTTATATTAAATTTAACTAAATTAGATATAATTTCATTAAATTAGATGTAATAATTTTAATTTTTAATAAATTCCAAAACCTAGTCATGTTAGGTTGGAAGTGGCAACAGGGCTTGCACCGGCATGAATATTTACGTTGTTTATTATAAGCGCACAGCGGCTTACACATTTATTCATTGATAAAAATAAGTTGTATATGCGTAAAATTCTTTTCTTTATCCCTTCTCTTACTTCTCACCTTTTGTTTCCTCGCGCCGTCTCAACAAATAGAGTGTATCGATTGTCGAATTAATCTTGGCATCGTGAATATTATATTTTATCAATGAATGGTTATATCTCTGTTATTTCTGATAATTACTGACCTCACTACAAGTAAAAAAATGAAAATAATTTTTTTATTAAATTAAAATGCATCTTTATCGTATATCTAAGTAATACATTAAAATTGCCCGCCACTGGAATTCCTCCTGCGCGCATCCTTTAAAAATTTTACGAATTTTAGAGTCGTAACATTACATTCCATTACACATTCCTATTAGACATTCCAACGACCTGTCCAAATGGTTTCCTGATGAAATTTTGACATTCAAACGTTTGTTTACTGATCTGTTCCAGTTGTTTTTGCACGTAAGTTTTAATAACTGTAACTTTGTGCGTTTAGGGTGGATTTTGAACAAAAACACGGTGTAGTGTTTGATTTTATTAATAGTTTTATCCTTAGTGTCAATATAAAAAACCCCGCACTTTTTACAGTTTTATCCTTAGTGTTAATATAAAGAACCCCGCACTTTTTACATTGATTTTGGGTACTGACAGAATTTGTTCAAATTTTAGTATGTTCTTTTTCAAGTCAACAGGCAACTTTCTTATGGACCTCAAGTAGGCAGCTCTACAGGGTAAGCTGTTAAATATATCTTCACCACTCTTAAATAATTCTTGTTTTTTTCATGAAACTTATGTAATGTGTTACACTTGTATATAGTTTGTTCATGCTTACTTATACTTTGTAAAATATATCATACAGTGTGTTCAAAAAATTTGGAATATCAGTTATTGAAATATTGTGCATTTTTCATAAATACCATAGTTATAATTTGATTTCTGTCCATTTTTGTTTGTTTCATTTCATACTAGATAATTTTTATAAGTTATACAGGGTGTGATAGAGCTACATAAAAAACTAAGAATTACAAAAACAAATTTAACGAAAAACTTGGTATACCTAAAATGTTGTAATAAGTCATGAAATGAATTCAGGTTTGCTCGTATTATAATCGTACCTCTTTTTAACTAACCAATTTCGTTCTACGTCTACTTAAATGTAGAAATAATTCTAGTAACTCTGACTTGAATGAATGACTGTGAAGACATATTTTAATAAAAGCCTTTTCTGATTTTTATATACAGTACAGATGTCAACTTATCACTTATTTTTATATTAATAATCTCATTTTAATCTTCGTTTAGTAATTTAAACTTCGTTTAACACAACGGTGGAATCGGCCCTTATAATTTTAGTTAAATTAAATAATCAATGACACCTTATGCAGTTTTTGCAGTAGTACTTTATTTAAAAACTTCGTGATACTGATGATATTTAATTCTTATTGTTTAGCTATTCTATACTTCTACATACTTTTATAATAATAATAATACTCTCCCTAATTCATCCCCTTACGAGTGAATTTTAACCCCAAAAGCTGAGCTTGTGCGGGGAAAGGAGTGGCTATTATTATTATTTGCCGTGGCGCTCCGGGGCGACTTAGAGATGATTGATGGTGCCATTTGACTTATAGGTGAGGAAAACCCGGAAAACCTCACCCACCATCCTGCTTTAGATTATTTTTTAAGCCTATGACGTAACTTTTTTTTGTTTATCAATCAAACTAATTACAAACAAAAGGAATCTATTTGATAAAATTATCACGATAGGGTTAACAAGTGTGTAATCTTTGCAATTTCAGACATTTGCTGCGTTTGTTTATCCATATTGGATACATCTGATATGTTGTGATTCTTTGATCACGTGATTCAAGATACCTAAATGTAGTTGGATCAGATGCATTTGATGTGGATAAATTAACGTTCAAGAGGTAAAAAATTGAATGTGGATATTCAAACCTAGCAATTCTATTTTACATTGTATATTTTTTTTTTCTTCTTTTCTAAGCTGTTATTAAGAACAATATTGCTGTACATGTGAGACTGGTTTAAGAACTATATGCATGTGTGCTCATATTTCAAGTGTTTTATTAAGAACTATTTTAGATGCTGCTGAAATATGAGTCAGATTTTGAAGATGTGTAAATAGTTAATGTATGTAATAAAAACAAGTTTTTAAAAATGCAGTTCCTTTTATATGGATTTATAATTTAGTGGAAGTCTAAAAATATATTTTAAGATACTGTTATATTTTGTATTAAATAGTATTTATGTATTTCTGACACACCCTGTATTATTAATTTATATTATCTAGTATTTAATATAACAAATACGTGATTAGAGGTCTATTCTAATTATGGTAATACATGAGAATGCGTCTTATTTCAGTAATTAATATTCCTATTTCTTTGAACACTCTGTATGATTTATTTTACAAAGTGAGCATTAACAAACTATGTACATGCCATAAGTTTCATGAAAAAAAATTACTTAAGAGTGGTAGAGATATATGAAAAATATTAATTCTGCACTTCCTACTTTTGACTCCTTCTAACAGCTCACCCTGTAGAGCTGCAAACTTGAGGTCCATAAGAAAGTAACATACAGTATCCAAAATCAATGTAAAAAGTGCGGGATCCTTTGGGGTTTATGTGTCATCTTCATTAGGAAACCATTTTAACTGTCAAAAAGTCACGTGGTTGTCTATAAATGACAAGTTCAACTACGTTCCCTGGGGGTTCATTTTCTAACATGTGTAGGATAAAGAAAGGAACGCATTAAGCAATCGCAGTCCTTTCGCACCGCGGACTGTGCTAGTCTCGATCGCTCGCGGTTTCCCGCGATTCTTTGGAAAAGGTAACAGCGGTAACCGCTTTACAGAAATCCAAACTTGACTCTAGGAATAATATCTTTTAAATTAAATTTTACCTATTGGTTCAAAATTAAAGGCATTTCTTTATAAACTTACCACAACATACTAGAACATACTTATGTAACCAGAGCAATTCTTTATAAGGTTTGGTTACTCTGCTTTGGTTACATGTTACCAAAGCATATGTAGCTACATCTAACGAGTCATTTATTTATAAGCTTACTAGAACATACTATAATAAAAATAAAATGAAAATTTTCTAAAATTCTAATTCCGCTTAGAAATTCTTAAATTTAAATTAAATTTGACATACGACATTCAATAATAGGGTTACCACGGTAACCACAATCACAGAACACTTACCACAATAATGTATCCAACGCCGCGTTTGAAAATCCACATCCGATGCATTTTTTACATCTCGAGCGTTTGTTTATCCACATCGGACACATCTACTCAGTCTTGCCAGATGATAATTTTCTGGAACAGTAGCAGGGTGGGAAAAAACAGTAGATCATCGAAACTAAACAGTAGATTTTATTACAGGGGGAAATAATTATAATTTGCAATATAATAAATAAAAAAATTATATAAGAAACGAAAAATAAACATTTTTGGCTTTTATATCCAAATTAAAAATTAAACAAAGAATAAAGCAAATAAAATTTGTAAAACTTAATGTTGGGAGACAAAAAAAATAAATGAAAAATAATAGGTACCTATTTCTTTCAGATCAGTCTGAATCAGATAATTCAAATATGTTGTGTTTGTCATGCATATTCGTATTATGATGCCCTATTAATTTTTTGTTGCATTTTAAATCAAAACATGATGATTCTCTGGAAGTTAAATATTTTTCGTGTTGTGAAAACCTACAATACTGACTGTATTCAACTTAATACGCTGATTTGACTTCAGCAAATTTACTTTAGAAAATATTCTTTGTTCATTTTCTAAAGAACGAGGCAAACGTAATAAATTAAGAACAAAATTTGCCTAGTTGGCGAAAGCAGTAGATTTCATGCCTAAAACAGTAGAACAGAGATAAAACAGTAGATCTACTGTTAAAACAGTAGGTCTGGCAACACTGCATCTACTACATCTACATCTGCGTTTGTTTATCCGAGATGTACCTGTCTAGATTACATTTTTTACATCTCGATTTGAAATGAGATGTGAATGAGATGTTCGTTCCATGTCAGAAAGTAAGTGTTCTGTGAAGCCAAGTTTGTCAATTTATCCTTTGTTTATGAATATAAAAGTGATTAGTTTGTTTAATTTTTGTTTAGATTTCAAATTTAGGTTGATTTGTAGTCTCAAAAGTCAAATTTAAAAAGTATGAACTTCTAACTTGTCATTGACATTTTATCACGTGACCAATAAAGAGCGTTTGTTTATTACGGATGAGATTACAGAACGTGTAAGTCAGTCATATTTGCAGATTTGCAAAGTTGCCGCCATATTTGCAGATCTGCAAAGTTGCAGACGTTCTGTAATCTCACCCTACTTAACATCGCGGGAAAATGAATTTGAATCGCGAATAGGCAATCCAAAATCACAAAACATTCACTCCAAATCACGTGACAAGAATGTTATCGCCACTTGTCACTTTACGAATATGGTAACCTTATTTTCTACCTCTATTCAGGATAAAGTCCAAACAAAAATTAGTGTTATCGCAAATGTCATTCAAAATAAGGTTTATAAGTGGAAAACGTAAAATATATAATACTATACGAGTTAGAATTGCTTGTAAACGCAGTCAAAAACTCAATTAAATCAATAGGTCAGATTCTGCGCAAGAGGCGTCAAGCACTCGACCACATGTTCAATTTTCATTCCTTTTTGTTGCTTTTTGTGGAGTTATAGAGGGAAGAAGGCTTGATTTTAAGCTGTATTTGCGCCGCCCGTTGTATTCAATGTAAGAAAGAGAAGCTAGGAAACATTATATACATGTTTGGATTTCCACAAGTTTGGATTTATTAGTTAAAAATTTATTTTTATTATTTAAAAAAGGACCTAATTTGTAATTACAGAAAATAAGCAAAGGGAACTTTCACGGTTTATTTCTAATGAGCTAATTAGGTATTTAGTAGGTACACGTTAAATGGGTAGGCGATTTGAAGTAATCGATTGTTCGTTCGATAAAATAATAAGACAGGATTAAAGACAAAATATTTCTAAATATGTTCGGATTAATAAATATTTATGTCTTAACTCAAAGGTATTTCCTAATCAGGCATTCCATCGACCTGTCCAAATGACTGCCGGAGGACTTTGGCAGGTTCATTGATGTATATAATTATATAGATAATTCGAAAGGGGTCGCGTTGCGAGCGGCCATATTTCCTCTCGAGTTCCCATTAATCAGAATCGGTTTAGCAAAAATGTGTTTTAAAACCAAATTTCTGCCTGTAAATATAGTAAAAAAAAATAATTATACGTTTCTTCAAGGTATTTTGGAAAAACATGACCAATCTATATAACTGTCATTGACCGACCCTTTGGAATGCCTAATACGGTTTCATTACTTCCATGACGTCATATGTTACTAAGGGCCGATTCCACCGTTGTGTTAAACGGAGATTAAAATGACATTGTTAATGTAAAAATGTCACTTTAAACTTCGTTTAACACAACGGTGGAATCGGTTCTAAAGCATGTAAAAAATTTAATACAATTTTGTGGTTAGAGTTTGTTGTTTGTTTTGACATTTTTGTAGAAATTTAAATTTGAAATACAGGGAATTGAAATAATTCTTACTAGGTTTGTTCTGGTTCTCAAAATGAAAACTGTTTTGAAACTGCGCCGGACCGTATGCGTAAAGGCAAAAAATCCCCGACTGTTTGAAATTCTTGGAAAACCAGAACACGTCATGAAGGTGTTTTGTTTATTGTTTATTATAATAATGAAGTTCCTTTTGAAAGCTCAGCTTCAAATAACATTTGCATGTATATGTTTATCATTATCATCACATTTCAATGGAATAAATAAAAACAGAATATTAAAAAATTAATAATTCTAAAATTGCTTTAATTTACAAATAAAACAAGAACAAGAGACATTCGTCCACATATAAATAAACAATTTGGGATTGTATACGTTTCGTATGGTCTAAAAAGCCAATACAATATTCATAACACTTCAAAAACGCATGCGCGGTCAAAACAGTCCGAGTCGATCCACACTCCCAAGCATGAACACTTTTTGACTGTTTACAACAATCACGGATTATTTCGGATACGAAACCAGAACACTGGACTGAGAGATCCGAAGTAGTCCCAGAAAAACCAGAACACTTTTTATCTACTGCGCATGAGCCCGACAGTTGTGGATCGTTATTTCTCAAAACCAGAACAGACCTAATGAGAACAAAGTTGTTGCTGATACATTTAAAATAATAAATTTTAAATAAGCTGTCAATCAGAATTATTTGACAATGTTACAAAGAAAATGCCTTAAATTTTCTATTTGTTAAATTTTGTAGTTTGTTTTGTAACGTAACCTCAAATTATTTATCAAACTGAGCTTACCTTTTTGTAGTCCTACCTTGCCTTTGGTGACGTGACATTGACATAATGACAAACAACACAGTGACGTTTACTTCTTGTTAAGGTTTACTGCAGTTTAAAAACGCCCAGTACAACACATGTTATTATTATAATGTAGGTTTTGAAAAATAACTAACAATTTAACAAAATATTTGCAATATTATTACAAGTAGGCCTGTATAAATCAAAAAATAATTACATTTTTATTGATGTTTAATTAAAGTATATTTACATGTATGTTAGTTAAGACATTTCAAATTATCTGCTATTGAACCTTTTATTAAATTATATTGTACAATATGTATATATTGTTCAATTAGAATATTTAAGCAATTAGAAAAAGTACAACTTATATGTATATTGATTATGAATTAAAAACAACTCTATGTAAGTATTAAAAATTTATATTTTTGTAGTTGCTGCACTCTCTGGGAAATTACCAGATTTGGATTTGGAAATACAACAGAAAATTCATGCCCCTAAAACATATCTTGATACAGCCGGAAATATTATATATGATTCACCAGGGGACACATTTTACAATACAGTGGATATCAAAACTGATGATGTAAAAAAATCTATAAATTCCAAATCCCTAGACTTAATTAACTTTGATCAATCTTCCATCAGATTCAGTGTGGGTGGTTCAGATTCCGAATCTTACTGTAATAGTCCCCTACTAAATGAAACTTTCAATCAAATCACTGGTGTGGTGCTACCAGTAAATAAACATTTAAAAGTAAAAACAGCTGATTTACTCTCTGTTTCTGGAATCGGTGGAAGATATTCCACTTCATCTGAGACTCAATCCATAAACAATGATTCTCTAAATGATTCTAAAGTAAATTTTGAAGATGCCAATGATTACTATACTACAGAAGAAATTGTAATTGATGAACGGAGCAGTAGTTGTTCTCCTATCCTACAACTAGATCATATTGAAGATGCTAATATTCCACAACCTGAAAATACAAATGATATAATTTTTGAAAACCATCCTTTAAATACGACTGATTTGATTGAGAATATACAAGAAAAAGTAATTGCTGAAAAACATAATTTAAATAAAACTCATTGTACTGGAAGTGTAAATGAAACAATAATTTTTGAAGACTGCAATTTAAATATAAGTGATTTAAGTGCAAAGGTACACAATGATATAACTGTTGGAAATCATAATTTAAATACAACATTTAACAATACTAGGGAATACAGCTTAATAGATAATGATATTGAGATAAAAGGTGAATCAGAAAAAACTGAAGCTAATCACATTGATGGAGGTCACATTGATGCTGTCACATCAATTGAAGTTTGTGATGTTGAAGAAGTTGATTTAACTAGAGAGTGTATTGAATTTGAACAGTTATCTCCTGCTTCTCCCAGGTCTCCAATTACAGAAGATCCTGGTAAAGAAGAATCTCTAAGTGATAACGTCAATATCCAAGAAAATACTCAAGATTTAGTATGTACTTTGAGTCCAAAAGACTATGTAAAAGAAGAACCTGCAAGTGATAACTTTAATATCCAAGAAAATACTGAAGATTTAGTAAGTACTTTGAGTCCAAAAGATATAAAAGAAGAATCTACAAGTGATAACTTTAATATCCAAGCAAATACTGAAGATATAGGAAGTATTTTGTGTCCAAAAGATTCTTTAAAAGAAACATCTGTAAGTGATAACTTTAATATCCAAGAAAATACTGAAATTTTAGGAAGTATTTTGTGTCCAAAAGATTCTGTAAAAGAACCATCTGTAAATGAAAACTTGAATATCCAAGAAAATACTTTATGTCCAAAAGATTCTGTTAATGAAAACTTAAATATCCAAGAAAATAGTGAAGATTTAGCAAGTACGTTGTGTCCAAAAGATTCTATAAAAGAAAAATCTGTGAGTGAAAACTTGAATATCCAAGAACATACTTTATGTCCAAAAGATTCTGTTAATGAAAACTTAAATACCCAAGAAAATACTGAAGATTTAACAAGTACGTTGTGTCCAAAAGATTCCATAAAAGAAAAATCTGTGAGTAAAAACTTGAATATCCAAGAAAATACTTTATGTCCAAAAGATTCTCTAGGTGAAAACTTAAATATCCAAGAAAATACTGAAAATTTAGCAAGTACTTTGTATACAAAGGACCCTAATTGCAATTTCAAGGTATGTTAGTTTGTTATATATATATTTTTTTTCAACTTAAAGAACCCAAGACAGCAAATATCTTAGTTACTAATTTTATATGGACTGTTGCGCAATTTTGATGCATGTCTGGAGTGTGAAATTTTTTTTATTTTTACTTTTACCATGATATATAGGGTGGCCAGACGAAAATGTACCAGAGCCAATATCAGAAACTGCATCAATATTTTAGACAAACGCTACGACCTGTCAATTTTTGATTAAAGGAGGAAATCTTTCTACTGTATCCTCAACTGTCAAACGTCCTTCCCTCTCGTCCGTCACTCTAACTAATACCTGTATTATAAGTATGGATATTATTGTTGAATATAATATATTACTGGAAGTATTCTGGCGCAAGTATATAGATGCACAATGATTAAAATGTTGCTGAATTATTGTATTATAATACAATGATTTTAGTCTCAGTTAATAAATTCTGGGAAATACTAAAGACATTTAAATAATTATCTAGTTGAAATCCCAAATACTTGACATTAGAAACAACTTCAATGTGCTCATTATTAATGTCAAATTTTTAACATCAATAAATCTATATTTAAATTTCGTTGTAAAGGCCATTGCTTTTGATTTTCTTACACTTAACTTTAGTTTATTTATATTTAAGTAATTATTTACAGATGATATAAAAGATTAATGAATTCAGAATCAACAAAAATTTCAATATCATTAATATATAAAATAAAAATAAAAGGGCCTAGTATGCTACCTTGAGGAATCCCCATACCATTATTTATGTTACAGGATGTTTGTTCAGCAAAACAAACTTTGCTTGTGAATATTTAAATAGTTACTAAACAAATTAAATACTCTACTCCAATATCATATTGTTTTATAACCTAATTTGACTGTCAATTGTCTCAAAAAGCTTTTTTTTAAGTCAAAAAATACTGATACAACTTATTTAGTTTGGATGTTACAAATTGTAAGTTGTACTACTGATTCACAGGAAAATATTTTTCTAAAACCTGACTGGTTTGCATTGATTATAAACAGCAATTTCTTTAAATTGAAGGCCAGGTATTTATTGGTCTAAATTCATTAGCATTATTGGTATTAATTATATATAGGTATAACTGTACTGATGTTTAATGAATTATATTATGAATGACCAATAAGTCAAATGGTTATTTTTAAATCCAAATTTAATTGAGATTGGTGATTTTTAACTGAATTTAGATTGATTATAAGAAGTTTAATCAAAACTGACGCGGTTTTTGATAATGGCTTTGATACGTTTTGTCTGACCACTCTGTATAAGTACATTAAAATATTTTTCAGATGACTGATTTATCAGAAACATTAAATCAGCAACAGGCTGAAATTTCAGATTTAAAATTAAAACTTAATGCATCTCAACAACATAATGCTTCTTTAGAATTGCAAATACGCCAAAATGAAGAAATTGTTATAAAAACGCAAGCTGAAGCATTGAGAACAGAACAAAATTACCAACAAGAAGTTAAACAACTTAAAGAAAAGCTAAATGAAAATTCTAAAACAATAGAAAAGGACAGAATTAGAGAATTAGAAGATCAACTTAAAGACTGCAGGGCCAGGGAGGCCAAACTTTTAGCAGAAATATCCCAGAGAACAAAAGATGATGTCAACTTACAGTAAGCGTATTTTGTGCAGAAAATGTATTATGTAACTTAATAATAATATTAATAATTCTTTATTTTCCATAAGACAATAATTACAATTGTATAAGATTCGTCAATATATATAATTAAAAAGAGAGAAAAAAATACGAGATAAAAAAAATAATAAAGGATAGCAGTAAATAAAACATAAGGTTAAATCTAAATACATAAAATAAAATTAAAAATACTAAATACAATCGCGCTATAATTCTAAACAGATTAAAATACTAAAAATATAAAAAATCAGCTAAGGAATAAAAACATTTTTCCAGGAGATAATTTTCAAATTATTTTTAAAAATAATATTTGCATTTTTTTTTATTTCAATTGAGAGTTTATTGAATTATTTTGGACCCAGAAAATTTGGTGCGTTGGAACTAATGTGCAGCCTTGCATAAGGCACGTGCACTTCATCAACTTGTCTTGTTTGATAACTATGAACATCTCTGTTAGTCATAAAACAACTTTTGTTTTTAAAGATGTACACACAAATTTCAAAAATGTACAAAGATGGAAGTGGGAGTATTCCACAGTTTTTAAAATATGGTTTACAGGACATGCTTTGTGAAATGTTTGCTATACATCGTATTACTCGCTTTTGTGCAGTGAAAACATTAGAAGCATCTGTAGAATTACCCCAGAGACATACTTCATATCTAAGTCGCGAGTCGACTTGAGCAAAGTAAACACTAAAAGTTGATGAGATTGCAACACCTCTCATAAATTAATAAAAAAATATTTTAGCAAATTCATTTTTCCTACAAGTTTATTGCAGTGATACTTCCAATTAAGAAATTCATCAATATGAATCTCAAGAAAACGAATGCTTTCGCGTGTACTATCAATACTGGACTTACCCATATAAACGCTAAAATCATCTAGAATATTCTGCCTGTTATGAAACCTAATGAGGTCTGTTTTATTAGTGTTAAAAAACAAATCTAAACTATTAAAATGGTTAGAATTTTTTTGTAAAAGAGAAGAGCTTTTAACGCGTCACTGTTATTTGATAAAACTATCACAGAAAAGTCATCAGCATATGCAACATAATGATTATTACATATTAAAGAGTCTACACTATTGATATATAAAATAATATTGGCCCTAATAATGACCCTTGTGGAACTCCCATATGTGTATCTAAAAAATTAGAGTTAATTTCTTTAGTTTTGTCTATTTTAAAGTTTAGAGATACATATTGCTGTTGGTAGAGATCCATTTTAAAGAATTGCTTCTAATTCCATATGTCTCTAGTACAGATAATAATAATTCATGATTCACATAGTCGAATGCCCTACTTAAATCACATAATATCGCAACAGGGCACTCGACTGCTTCAATATGTTCAATAATCTGATTATAAAATGAGATCATGGCTGTTGTTGTTGACTTTTCTGTTGATTTTTTGTGACAATTTGATGTCGTTTTAAAAATTATAAAATTCGATCTAGAAATGCATATTCGAATATCTTAGATAATCCACAGGGGACTGTCACAGGCCTATAATTTTCCAATGACATCGAATCATTTTTTTTTGTATAATGGCAACACTTTACCTGTAATTAGTTTTGCAGGAAATGCACCAGATTCGAATGACAAGTTTACATAATATGTCAGCGGGGCTAGAATATCCTTGAGTGACTTATTTATAATATGACTAGGCACATTGTCTGCACCTGATGATTTTTTATTTTTTTTATTTTTATTTAATAAATTTAATATTTTAATTTCTGCAAATGGTATTAAGAACATTGATTTTTATTAGAATATTTTCCAAAAGGTTTGTTTATTTTACTTGATAGATCTATTTGATCAACTAATTTTAATGGTGCGTTAATAAAAAAAAGTATTAAATTCTGTCACTATCTCATGTGGGTTCTCTATCAATTTACCCTCTCTTTTAATAACAATATTATTCACTGACCTTTGCTTATTCGCCATTTCCGATACAACGTACCACGACGCCTTGACAGTATTGTCTGAGTTGATAATACGATATTGATATTGTTTTTTTTTTTTTTGAAACCAATAAATTTTAATGAATTTTCTTATACTCTATAAAATTCCTTAAAATTTGTATTTATCTTTTGTAAAGCAAAGAGAACTTTGAAATAACGATGTGTTTTGTTTTTAGAAGAATTATGGAACAATATGAAGTAAACTTAAAATCGCGAATCGTTGAATGCAAGAAATTTGAAGAAGAAAATAGAACAATTAAGACGCATTTGACAAATTTGGAGCTGGCCTTCTCCGATGTGCACTCGTAAGTTATTTTTATCCCTATTAAAATATTTGTAATCGCTGTTATTTTTTATTTTATATTATAATTATTTTTTGATGTAGAAAATATGAAAAAACTAAAGCAGCTTTACAAGGAGTCAAAGCCAATGAAGAAGCGCTCTTATCAGATTTAGATGTTGCACAAGCAACCAATGTACAGCATGAAGAAAGATATGAATCATTAAAAGCACATGCAAGAACTCAAATAGAAAAGTAAGTATGTAGCATTAGTTCTGGCAGTAAAATCATAAAGCATTTTAATGGTGCACTTTACATTGTCGAATGCTTTCTTAAAATACAATGAGATAAGTATACACGAGTCTTCTTTATCAATGTTGCCAGATTTATTAGTATTATATAGTTGGAAGTGAATAATCTTTCAGTAACTTATAGTTTTTAAAAGACTTATTTTTAAAAACTACTACTGTTTTCAACTGAACAGTATAAAACCTATCAACAGACTGAACTGAATTTTTTTTAGGTCAAATAAAGAAATCCACTCTATGAAAGAACTTCACGAAATGGAAATGAGCAAATTGAAAGCATACGCTAGAAGATTGGAAATAAAATTAAGTTCATTGGAAGTATCTCTTCAACAGAAAACAGAAGAATGTGAGCAGCTATCAGCATTGTGCGACGAAGTAACGGGCAAACAAGTGTAACATAGACTGCATATATAGAATATATTTATGGAACTCAGCATAATATTGGGTTAGCCAACCGTCAACAATTAATTAATCTAGTTCCGATTTTAATGTTGAAATTAAGGGCCATTACATTACTAACACAATTAACGTAGGTCCTAGCTTGTGATTGCTTGAGAACTGATAGAAGATATTTTAGTAGTTCGTTTAGCTCTCTCATCTTTGATCTTTTAAAGGCTTCCAAAATAATTTTCAACGACAGATACATAATTTTAAGCATATTTATTTTACTTAGTATTACTAAAAAAATAACTGCTGATTTATTGTTGATTATATTTTATACAGTGTTTGCCAACAGTTTTTAGTTAGGTATAGTTTTAATTTATTTTTTATAAATCGAAAAGTCAGATATAATGACTAAAACATCAATTTTAAGCTTTTTTTATAAATGGATGATATTTTTTAAACCCTTTCTATTCTTAGTCTCATTTCTACTTACAAAATTTAGAGGATCCTTGTCAAATTTGGTATAAATTTAGTCAAAAGTACAATAAATTGGAGCTTACATAAATAATACATAAAAAAATAAATGTAATTTTTTTAACTCTCACTACTGGGTGATAATATAAGCATAACAAAATATACATCACCTTAAGAAGTATTATTCTTAAATCAAATAATTGATATTAACACCAGCCTAAAGTCTGTCTCATATTATGTATGAAACATTCATATTTTTTATTTGCTTATAATATTTTACGATCAATTCGGGTTTTACTCTCTAAGATTTAATTGTTTTCAATAAATGTTTTAAATATTTATAATATTTTTTATTGGATTAACTGGTAACGGCGAACCCTTTGTAAAATATATTTTGGCTAAAACCCAATAGGCCCATTCACTTTCTTTTTTTAGCTTGTATTAATCATATATTTTCAAAGCTATTAAACTCCTAAGATATTTTAGAGGATTCCAATCTCATTCTTCCAGTGAATTATTGTGATCAATTAAAAGTTAAATAGAGCTCGTTTGTCGGATGTATCATAATATACTTTTCTACTTGTAGATATGTAATTGGATGGTAAATTCTATTTTTGAACGACATACAATGTTGCCATATTTGCCAGAGAAAATATTTGGCAAACAAAGTTACGCTTGTAATATTCTGCTTGAGTAATAATTATATCTATAAAAGTTAAACAGGCAATGCTACTTTGAATATGAAAACACTTTTATACAATTTTACAAAAATTTAGTTTTACCATCTAACGTCCATATTCAAGCATTTTTAAATAGTTATCTACATCTAAAACTTTAAAAGTATAAACGTCGAGTCAGAGAAAAAGTAGAGTTGAATGAAGATGTAATTTTTCAAATAAATGAGCTTATATTTCCTCAAATTATTAACAAATTAAATATTGGTTAATATTTTTATGGAAAACATTCATGAAATTAGGTGATTATCATTCGAGTTACTTTTATTGATCGATACTGATTAGATGGTAAATGCAAAAATATAATATTATAAATAATCATTGACAGCCTCGGCGAGGGTAAAGGTAATTTGCGGTTTTCTGGCACAGTTATTCACTGAAATAATTTAATGGACAATATCTTTAAAGTGTTCTATCGATACAAAGTAATTCATAGGTACATTTTCTACGTTACTTTCTTAAATGACAATGGTCTAAAACGATTTTAGTATCTGTCAGTCGATAGAGTGCACTTAACGGGCTAAGCACTACAAAACGGAAATCTTTATAAATATATGATTAATACAATTTAAAAAATGAAAGGTAATGGGTCCCGTTGCAGAAGCAATTCTGTTTTTTATATTGTTACTTAAATTCTCAGTTAAAACTTTATTTATTTAAACTATCCTCTATTGAATGTTCATTCTTTGTGTATTTCTAAATTATAGTGATATTAGAATATTTATTTATATTTTTGGTAAGCAGCCATACTTTAAGATTTGTTAATATTTAGAATATATTATGTAGATTAAAGAAACTTCGAATAGTGTTGGCAGTATTTAAAAATTCCGAACTGTTTTGTTGTAAACCGAAAAGAAAATGTTTATCCAACATTAGGCTAATAAAATGTATTTTATTTTTTAATATTTACTACACGTAGGAGGATGTCTATATGTGCTCCGAAATTTGCTTAAAACTTTTTATATAAAGTGAAGAAGCTTATTTATTTTTAATGCTGGCATCAGAATAAGAAAAGCTGTTAATTTCGTTATGTCCGTTTAATTTATTTAATTAAAAAAAAAACTAACATGACTTTAATGATTTAATATTAACGTTTAAATTTTAATATAGAATACCTGTGTGTCTTACTTCTATCTGCAATTTGAGAATTTGACGTTTCGGGTGTAATGTAGTTTTTTTAAGCACCCTGTATATTATATTTCCGCGTTTTATTTTCTGTTAATGACATTCAAAAACGGATTGTACAGGGTAACGCTATAGTGATGGAGATGAGAAGGCAAAAGGCTTTGAATGTCGAAATGTTAAAATTCTAATTCTGATTTCAGTTACAAGAATGTGATCATACTGTACATAATTATGCACTAAAATATTTTAATTAAATTCCATAACTATCTTATCGTTTTATTTATTTTTCCAATGCTCTTCAAACACTAGTTTTGATATTGATAATTGTTTTGGATCCCACGTTAAAAGGTAAAGTCCTTGGGTGATATGCCACCTATTCCAAACAGAGTTAAAGTGACATTTGTTTAGTTTTTATTTCATTTTTTTTTGTTTGTATCTTAAATTTATAACTTGTTCCAAACAAAGAAACTATCTATTAGGGAATCTTGATATATAGAGCCTTCAACAATACTCGTATCCCACGTGATTAAATTGATTCATCATCAGTTGCCTAAAAGTAACAATAACTCTGTAGTAACCCTAAAACAAATTATTACCCTATTTGCCAATAGTGATACTTTAAGGTGCCATTTGACTTACAGGTGAGAAAAACCTCACCCACCATCATCGAGACGGTAATGCATGGCGATTTTTATAATCTGCATGATATCAACAGAAATTGAATTTCTATTAATACGGCACACATCATATCATATACCGAACCATGCAATTTAATTAAAAATCCACATGGTCTGGGATTCGAAGCCCAGCAGTCTCTGACACATAAACTTGCTTATAAATGAATATAAGCGCGTTAGACCGTTACACCACCGACCCGACTTATCAAGTCTGGGGTAATTAGACATAAATTTTAAACTTAGGTGTTCTTACTAGACCCTTTCACCGTTAATGTTCTGAAAGACAGTTTTATTCTTAAAACAACACTGAAAATAATCTTATTTAAAAATTAAAAAAAAATATTACATTTAGAAATATTTTTTAGGAACCTTTCAAACTAATGTTTAGGACTAATAAAACATATAATATCAGAACGTTTTGCATTTTCCCTGAAAATAAATTCTTGACTACGGCAATGGGGTTATTATTTGTGTTAATTGTGTTGCCTAATATAGGCGCAACTATAACGCCCTTAGAAAGTTACCCAGTAGATAGATGTTTTAAAAAATATTTAGAATTAAAATTACATAAATTAAAATTAAACAGAAAAATATTTTCAATACCAGGATTATTCATAGATATATTTATTTTATTTATTTATACTATTAATATTTAAACCACGCCCAGTTCTAACTGCTTCTATTTTGATATCCATTTTTCACCATTCTATCTACTTATAGAGATAATTTTAATTTATTTCTGTATAGATTATATATTTTGTAATTTCTGACGTATTTAGTGGTTTTAGAATCTCGTAATACAAAAATTATTCCAAGAAAAACGCCGATGAGTAATCGTACTACGAATTCAGGTTCACGCCATTCATTGTCTGAAGTTGGTGTTTTGTGTAGTAGGTTGTTACCAAACCAGTCTGCTTGCTGAGTCTATCCGTTTCGCTCTTGCGATCAGCTACGTCTGAGATGTACGTTCCAACGCTTGGTGTTCCGTGTTAGTGTTAAAAACGAAAATGGCTTCCAAGTTCTTTGTGAGTTTAATTTGTTGGGTGCAGTTTGTTAATTTCTGAATTGAGTTAGTTGAATTTGTGTGTTAGTGAAAATAAACTTGTAAATACCGTCCTTAATCAGTGCTCTTAATGTTGATTAGAATAAAAACGGAAAACTTTTGTAAGCCAACGAATATACATTCTAATGTTATTACCATTTGAAACTGCAAATTTTGTGATAGAAAGAACCTGGTAGCCAAAATGGGACGTTTGGACTTCTTAATTTATATATTTTTATGTTTTACACTAATCACTAGCCAGACAACGAATATACACGGTAAGTTTTTAAATCTTTAATAGGTATTCATGTTTTGTTAAATGTTTAAATATCCTTTTAATAAAAGTCAGGTATGTACTCTGCCGAGATACCTAGGTACCTATTTGTACATATCACGTGTTAATGCCCTTTGCATTTTGGCGTAACTGTTGCTTTTAATATTCCACTTGTTGCTGTATTACATTGGTTGAGTGATTTTTAATTTTTAATTGAAAAGGTTGATATAACGCACCTCGTACCTTCATCATCAATCACTTTATCTAATCATTTTTGTGTCATACTTAATTTAAGCGGCAACACCTATAATTTTCATTAAAATATTCCTCGAAAAGTCGCCTAATTTTAAAACCAATTAACAAATTATTATTTAGTTAAAATTATTTATTGATTGGTACCTTTACCTATAAAGTTTTCTAAATAAAAGGTATGTAGGTAACCTTGGAATGAGAAATGCATACTTAATCTTATTTCTCACAATAATATTACTTACATATTTTTATTGATTTAAATGAATCATGCTTGCATTTTATAACAGAAGGTAATATGATTCATCAATCATCATTTATTTTCAATGTGATATGTTTGTGTGAAAATTTACCCCAATTAAAGACAAATCCTCATAATATGGTACAGCAAATATACCAAAGTAAAGGGACATTGTAACTATTTTCTTGAAATTAATATACTGACTATTAAGCTTGGCTTTTGTAATAAACAATAAAACTATACACCTATTTATTTACAATAATAAAAGTTGCCCAATTGCAGTTTTCTGATTATAGTTATTTTTTTATAAGTAAATCACACTTTTATCCTTCTATTAGAGAGAAAACAATTTCAACTATTTCACTATAATATAATTTACGACCATTGTTATCAATAATTGGATAATTATCAGTTTCTAAATGGAAATACCTACCTAATAAACCACCCAGACTATTTATCTGTAGCTTCCTTATCTGTTCAGATTTTTCACAGTTAGGTAGGTATATTGTTTATATTCATTATTGTAGTTAAATAAACACCCTAGTGTTAAATGTTTATTTATCAACTTGTGACAATCATTTGAATAATTACACTAACAGTTTGTTTACAAGTTGTCATAAATAAATTTTAAAAACAATATTTTCTTAGGACCATTGATCATTAAGAAATAAGGGAAGCTTAAAATGACATTGTTAATGGAAAAATGTCATTTTAAACTTGGCTTATTTCTTAACAACTAGCTGTGGAAATGGGCCTTTGTTAAATGTACCTTTGGCAGTTGTCTCCATGGTTACAATTGTTATAATTTGGTTATTGGTTGATTGAGATATCTATTAAATAACAAATATGATTATATCTATTATTTTACTTTAGTTTTGAGTAGAGAATTTAGGCAGGTAATTGTAGAATAATGTCACTGTTATCTCACCATAAATATAATGATATCTCAGTTGTTATTGCAACAGAGAAAAAGTTTGATAGTTTTCAGCAAAGCTGTTCTATAGATTAAGAATTAATTGATTTACCTAAACTACTTAGGTATATTAGATTTATTCAAATGTACGCCTTGCTTCATATATATATCCTGGCTAGGAAAAATGTTAAATGTTCTTATTGATATTTTTATTTCAAAGCACCATTAAGTAAATGTTACTTAATATTTTTAATTCATACTTAACTATACTTATGACAAAGTTGACTTTCTTGCATTGTGAAATTAAGTAATTACCTGCACAAATTGTCGACTGGTCTTTTATTTAAATGCATGTTGATATTGATTTAGTTGCTGAGCTGTTTTAATGAAAATTAATTGCTCAAGGTAAATACTGTTTAATTAAATAAAGATAGACTTTATAAAAAAGCTGATATAATTGAATAGGAGTACATAATATGTAATAATGATTACAATGAACCAGAAAATACCAAGCTGACATTTGTGGAGCATTGTGTATATTTGTGATTTGTTTGGTCTTTTGGACTGCTTTTAGTGGGGGATCTATTCAAAGAACGTTACAATGTCATAATTGACAGAAAGTACATTAATTCTTCAGAAATGTGATGGAATTGAACCCAATGTATAATAGATCCAAAGGAAGAACAAAGGATAGATGGGTAGATCAGTAAGGTAAAATAATGGTACAAAGTAATAGCTGGAGCTGGATCAGATCCCTGCTGATAAATTGTACTTGAGTACTGAATACTTTTCATAATTGAAGAACGCGTAGGTACATTACTTATTGCATATCCTGTAAAATAGAGAACTACAAGTACTTTTTTCAAGTACATTTACTACACTGCACCTCATTTTTATTAATTACCAGTGGTAATTTACCGCCTCAAATTATATATGGCTAAGCAAATAAAAAAATCAAATATACCTATCTATTAGGTTTTCTCCAGATCATGACAACAATTTACTTTTGTTAAAATCAGCACTTAGCAGCATGGCATAATACTGTTGCATTTTATATTGACTACTTTTTTACACACTATATAAAAAAAAATCTGATGTGTCCAACAACACATGACTTTCCTATCTAGTTATTATAGGGTTTTTCCTGTTGTTTTGTACAACCTATTGCAGCACCTCTAAAAATGTTTAGAGGATAAACAAAATATATACATTTTCCACATATGTACATTTAACTCGAAACATTTTTCTATAGATATTCATTGAAAACAAAAATACTGAAAAATTTAAATTTAGCACTTTTCCTCCAATTTTTCCATTACGGTCCATTTTAGAAAAATCATGTAAAAACAAAAATTATAGAGATCGATATCGCAAACAATTTTCTTAAAAATCAGAATTTTGCACATTTTGTTAAATTTCTCGAATACGGACCATATCAGGAAAATTTGACATAAATAAAAAGTTATAGATAATAATATTAGAAGTAACTTTTATTTGAACAATTTTCTTCTCCAAACATAAATAACAGATATATTCCATAAAATATAAAAACGGCCTCCCATAAAGTACCCCCAGATGTTCTGACTTTTTCCAAAATTTTATCATTTCACGTCAGGCCGACATAAAACTTAAGTTTAAAATTTAATGTTTTTTTCCTTTATCCGTTTTTGAGTTTTCTTCAAAATTTACACATTTTCTCAAATATCTCGAATACGGTCCATTTTAGAGAAATTATGTGTATGATAAAAATTATAGAGAATTATATTACAAATAACTTTTATTTAAACAATTATTTTTTTTTTACATTTTGTCAAATTTCTCGAATACGGACCATTTTAGGAAAATTTTGTATAAAACAAAAAATATGATAATAATATTGTAAGTAACTTTTATTTGAAGAATTTTTTTCTCCAAACGTAAATAACAGATATATTCCATAAAATATAAAAATTACCACCTATAAAGTACCTCCCCAGATGTTTCGAATCTGCCCAAAATCTAATCGGTTCATTGGACGCAGGAATAAAGCTTAAGTTTAAAATTTCGTGTTTATTTTTGTATCGGTTCATGAGTTATGGTGGATACAGACACACACACAGACATCATCGCGAAAATAGTCGAAACGGATTCAAGGGACCCCAAAACGTAAAAATCCGTCGAAAACCGGAGGTCGAAAAAAATCATGATTCCTATACTTTCCTTATCTGTAGATAGGAAAGTAAAAATATGCACTATCAATATCAAATCAATCCCATAATTTTTGTCGGCAATTTAAATTTCTCGTTTATATACAGAAAAAGGTAAGGCGGTTATCACAAATTCTGTTTTAATAACAAACAATATTAATGTAAGTAAAAAAATATATATTTTGCGAAATTATATTTATTCACTTCACTCATTTATTGCTTCTGTTGGCTTTCAATTTCTCAAAGTTATCAGTCAAAGCATTTTTCGGCGTACTGCTGATTATTGTAGCAAAATAGAACAAGGCACAGACAAGATGAGAATTGTAAAAATTACTCAGAAAAATGTACTCATAATAAACGCGGGTACTGGAAACTTTTATATGTTAGGGGTACAAATACCAGTACTTTATTGGATATGCACTCGGGTACTAAGTACCCAAAATATTTGAGTACCTGTACATGGGTACTTCCCAGCTCTGCTAATAGCATATAGAAAAGATTGAAGAAAGGCAGTTTGGTGGGAAAACACACCAAATTCTTTAAAGTAAATGGCTGGACAATCACTCATCCACCTTGTACCTAAATAGGACAACTTTGAATTCTAGTTTTCCTCCGGCGCCTCTGTCACTGTATTTACTAATTTAACTCAACTCATGTGTATACAGGGTGTTCACTAATGATGTTCCAATATTTTAATAGGGTGTGTAGAACCATTTTATTTAAATTTTTTGCAATTTGGGTCAAAGTGTTTATTTTTTCTTCTTGAAAATCTCAGACTTAGGAATATTACTTTTGATACACACTTTTCAGTAGTCAAACCCTATTTTTTGAAGGTCTATTCTTTGAATTTATGTTTAGATATTAGTGAACTCTCCTTTTATTTTGTCAGAACTGTTTTCCTTGAATATTACACGCAATTTAGAAACTTTTTTCACTCTTGTAATTTTTTCATATATTCAACAGTTTACGTACAAAAAATAAAAATAAAAAAATACGTGTGGCACTCGGGCATATATGCAATTATAATTATTTATTTATTTTATTTATGCAGTACTTTTTTTTTCTTTGATAATAATTTAAGTTTTTTCTTTGATATTAATTCAAGTTACACTTTTTGAGCGTGGTGACCGATAAGAAAACAATTTTTTTTCTTTTATTGAATAAATGAGAAGTTAATATTGTTTAAAATATTTTTATTATCTTACAATACATGTAGGTTATTCAGGAATTTTTATCATTGAAACTATAGGTTTATGGTAACTGAAATAAGAAACATGGGTTTGAGACTTGATATCCTCTAAATATCTGGAAAATATCGCGTCAATGGAGGTCCAGTATTTTGGTGTGGATTCTTGTGGATCATTATTAATTTTCAAATTCAATTTTTCCGAAATTGTGTCTAAAAGAGATAGAAT